AATAAGGGACAATTGCTGGAACAAAAGGGTTAAACGCAAGTTGTGCTCAGATAAACAAATCTATGGGAGATAAAGCAGTTGCCATGCCAGCTGACGGAAAGCAGCCAGCACCAATTTGGCAAGCAGGAGACTATCTAAAAGGCTGAGCTGAGTTCCGAGGCTCATCGTACCCAGGCTGTTTCTTGGCTTTAGCTTTGCCAGTCCTGTTCACTTTAAATCAGAAGCAACAATTGCTTGCATCAAATTTTTTATCCGTTGAAGGAGAGCGAGGAGGTAGTTACGTTTTCTGGGGCTCAGCAAATGAAAACCAAGGAAGAAAGTTTGATAAATGTAAGACAATGACCTGAAAGATCTGGATCTCTGCCACTAACTCTATCTGTAGCCATTGCCAAGTCCTTACACTCTGTTTTTTTCCCCCTTCTCTTTCACCTTTTCACGTAGAAAATAGAAATAAGCAATATTTTCTGTGTTTGGTTTCTCTGTTTGGTCTTCAGAACTGACAATTCAATGTTCTAATGGATCTTCTCTAAGGTCTCTGAGTAGTACTGTAAATAACATCTAATTAATAATGACAGTTGAAGCACTAATGGAAGATTTGCTTTACATCCTAAAGAGTGAACCTTACCTATTCAGGCAGGTGAAATTGTGAACGCTGGCAATATACTAAATAAACCACACTTTATCAAGGATAACATTAGCTTCCTTAGGAGTTTATTGACTAATGTGAACAATTATTGATTTTTTTTTAAGTGGTGTTCTAAGACCATTTAATAGCTGCTGTTGAATTCATCTTTCTGTAGTTTGGACTGTGCTGTTATTTAACCACATGTGAGGAGCACAGGTGTCAATGTTAGTCATGAATGTAATCCTTGAATTAAACCCCTGAAAAATGGGTTTCCAGTCAAAATGCAAATGAAAAGCATGTTTTATTTATTCTTCATATCTAGGTGAGTAATGAATTTCATTTAGCCTGTTGTATAATCATCTTGATGGCCTTTCTCTGCTCCGTCAGTGAAGTCTAATGCACCAACTTCTCGTTGTTTATGTTCTAAGAGGAAGGAAATGAGAGGACTCATATGAAAGTCTATGCAGCAAGGTGCCCTATGATTTTGTCCATTACATCACTGACACCAGAGTAAATTTACTGAAGTCTGTCTAGAGTCAAAAAGGCACTTAGGTGAAAAAAACCCAACAACCCCCCCAAAAAACCCCAGAAAAATACAGTTTTAGGGTAAAAATATGAAAAATGAGAGGGAGTGTCTGGTCTTCCTACAACCCCAGCTCAAATGCAAGTTCCGGTCTTGTTCCTAAATATGTAGACATAATAAATATTAAACAGATAAATAATCTAAATGAACTCCATTGCATTCTCATACATGTGAGTAAACATAACCATTGGCACAGTTATCTATCATGTAAACATCCATATTCTGGTACAGAATACATAAACATATGGTGTCAAAGAGAAGGGCAGCAGCAGCATGTAGGAATTTAAAGCCAGATGGTGGCTGAATGTTCCCTCATTGTGCACTTATTTAAACATATAAATATTATATATATATATATATACACACATACACACGGACATATAATTGTATATATGTGTTTGTTATCTCAACACTCATTAGACAAACTTTGACATTTAGTTGTAATTCAGGGCATAACATTCAGTGTAAATCTAATTGACTTTCCAGTAGCTTAATTTATTAGTGAAAATTAGGTTGATGGATCAAGCCTAAAAGCCTGTATAGTAAAAGGTTGTACTGGAACTTTCTTCAGTACATTAGCAAAGACTCAGATGTAGAAAAATATATTAATAAAAGGCAAGTTTGTTCCTACAGCAATCAGAAAGTTAACACTGTCAAAAACATGAATCACTTGACAAAGTTCAAACACAGATAGAATGCAATAATAATTTGGGTATATAAAAAGAGTATAAAAACCCTCTTAGTAATAGAAAACTTCATTAATAGATTGTTTTAACTGTTAATACTGATGTAATGAAATTCAAAATGAACTAAAATCTAATGTTTTAACAGGTGTGACCAACTAGCACTCATATTTAGAGTGAAATAATGATAACTTATATTTCTTACTTTTTAGATTATTAGTTTTAAAAAAATAAATTTCAAAAAACATATTTTTCTGATCAGTGTCACATGTCAGGATGCCAGGAACATCAGGTTTAAGTCTACTTAATATTGGCCTACTCTTGAAGTTTGTAATATCACATTTCAGGATTTAAGCCACTCTAAACAACTGATAAACTAAAACTGGGGGTTTTTTGACGAGTTAAAGAGATTTTTGGAGTATTTTTGCAACTTCTTCTTACCCTGCTTCCATGGGTCATTGTAAGATACAGGCTATTGAGTGAAGTGACCTCTGTAAGGAGCCAGTCCCACCATGATCTACTGATTTGAGTGGCTGCAGGCTCTGAAAGACAATATGGAAGACAGTGATCAAGGAACCGTGACTTGTTCTCTGATCTTCTGCCTAATGAAACCACAGGTAAAAATTCCCACAGGATAACCTTAAGTCAGTATTCTGAATTCAGATTTTAACAACATAGGCATCTATATCTGAGCTCTATTGGTCCTGCACCTGGGTTGGTGCAACCCCCGGTATCAATACAGGTAGGGGGATGAAGGGATTGAGAGCAGCTCTGCAGAGAAGGACATGGGGGTACTGGTGGATGAAAAGCTGGAGGTGAATTGGCAATGTGCACGCGCAGCCCAGAAACCAACAACCGTATCCTGGGCTGCATCAAAAGAAGTGTCACCAGCTGGTCGAGGGAGGGGATTCTGTCTCTCTAATTAGCTATGGTGAGACCCCACCTGCAATGCTGCCTCCAGTTCTGGAGTTCTCAGCACAAGAAAGACAGGGACTTTTTGGAGCGGGTCCAGAGGAGGTTGTAAAAATGATCAGAGGGCTGGAACACCTCTCCTATGAAGAAAGGCTGAGAGAGTTGGGGTTGTTCATCCTGGAGAAGTCTTGAGGGAGACCTTATTGTACCCTTTCAATACCAAAAAGAAGTCTATAAGAAAGATCAGGACAAACTTTTTAGCAATACCTGTAGTGATAGGACAAAAGGTAATGGTTTTAAAGTAAAAGGGGATAGATTTAGACTAGATGTAGGGAAGACATTTTTTACAATGGGAGTAGTGAAACACTGGCCCAGTTTGCCCAGAGAGGTGGTAGATGCCCCATCCTTGGAAACATTCAAGATCAGGTTGGACAGGGCTGTGAGCAACCTGGTCTAGTTGAAGATGTCCCTGCTCACTGCGGGGAGGGTTGGACTAGTCAACCTTTAAATGTTCTTCCAACTCAAACCATTCTATGATATATTTTATATGATATATATATGATATATGATATATATGATTCTATGATATAATTTTTAATAAACCTGGGGTTTGGTAGGTTCCAGAGGGAAATAGGTCTTTTTAAAATATGCTGCAGAGGCATCTCTGTTATTCTACCAAGAATCTGGAGCAGAGGTGTAGCAATTCTGCAGCATTTAGTAATTTAGTCTGATGTAGCAGTTGGAATGATCTTTGCTGGGAGATATTTGCTCAGAGCATGGGTGACTTCTCCTCAGAATCAGTACACCTACCCAATATTTGCAAACATCCAAGAGATCTCATATGAAATCTTGAAAACAGCTGGAGTTCGGCAGAAAAGCTGGGAGACCAAAGGTGTACTCATCATGGCTTTCAGGATTAACCCTCCAGAGTAACTGGTGGATTGAATGTGTAGGTTTGATGTTGAACACATCCATTCAAAGACACACTACAGCCTACCTGATGCTTCAGCTTGCTTTTCTAGACTCCCACCATCATCTTCATAGTAAATCCTCTGTTTTCTGTATTTGAAGATCAGAACAACTTCTGATTTGGTTTAGAGGAGGGAGAGAAATCAATGAATTTAAAATTGTTATATGATAAGGAATTTGAAAAAGTATAAAATATAAAATACTTTTTATGCTGTGCTGAAAATTCTCTACTATTTTGTTTCCTTAGATGCTGTTTTTCTCTCTTTCCATATGTTGAAAATCAACCTTTGGATTTCACTTTTAATAAAAATCCTCTAGTACTTAGCCCTGTGGTGAATGGCTTTTCCATCCCCTAGTTAAGATCTGACCATACGTTTAGGGTTAAAGAAGAACAACCTGAAGTCCTGTGATTACTCCAGGGGATATAGAACTAAGTTAATCTAAACATTTAACCTGTTGTAGCGGTCAATGAAATGTTGGAAACATTTTTCCACTGGTCAGTAGGCTGGTGGCAGAGGTATTTGCAGACAGCTTTATCAAGCTCTTCTGTGTCTCCCTGTGGATGATGCAGCAGCACCACTCAGTGGCTTAAGGCAGCTCCTCTTTATGCATCCCTCAGCATCAAACTTGAGCCAAAATCCACTGAGGATTTGGGAAAGTCTGATTTCAGTGCAATTTGGGTTAAGTATTTAATAGGATAGGTCAGAGATGGGCTTGAGATAAACCCAACATTTTCATTTGGAAGGATAAAAGAAAGGAAAAAAGGAACCTTTTTAATGCAAATCCAAAATTTTATTATTTCTCATTGCAACATTTTATATTTTTATTATAAAAATCAGCGTGGATTTCAGCACAATATTTTGGAAATATGTGGTTCTTTTTATTTATTTCAGAACCCCCCACTCTTCTAAAAAAAAATTAAAAAAAAAAAGAAAGAAAAATAACCCACAAAAAAGCTTCCTCATCTCCTTTTTACATCCTTCCTAGAGTTTGATGAAACTCCACGATAACCAGAGATTTAACAATACAATGCAATCAAACATCTTGATGCATGAAAAGTGCATGAAAAGCACTTTCCACCCATTAATATACATTACTGATCTTGAAAAAAAAAAATTAAACAAAATTTTCTTGCAGCTCTTTTCTGGGCACCGCTACATCCACTCCTCTTATGGGAAGCAAGCTACTATCAAGATAAAATTAATAATTTTTATTCTTCTAATTTCAGGTTGGGAAGTAGATAACTTGGGGCAAACCCATGCAGGTAAGAACCGGTTTTCTTCACTACCTTTTAGGTATTTCTGTTCTTAAAAATTGTAGGTAAAGCACGTAATAATACCAGATTATTGAAAAGTTGCTTGTGGGTCAACCATTGTCATAAGGAATACATGTAATTCATTGTGACGCTGTGATAAAAAGTGAAAGTAGAAATCTGATAAGTTTTTAGAAATCAACGTGATCTAACCCAAAACCACAAAATTGAACTGTTTTACTCAGAATCAATTAATTATTGATTTTTGTCATTGATGGATGGAAATAATATTTCATGAATGCTGTGAAAATTGGCCTTAATTAAATATCTATAGATTATAAATATAAATTTCTAAAAACTTTTATATTTTTACAATAAAATCAGTCCTAGTTTGATTGTATGTGTTTTTAGCTATGTGCTCATTGCTTGCAGTAGCTATTATAGGTTCACCTTTGATTTAAACTAACAAGTAAAACTATGTTTACTTCCTGAAAAGACAGAATCATGTATTTATTGCCTTTGGGCATTATACAAACAAATAAAAATCAATTGGGTTCTATTCACTGATTTCTGCAGAGACCAGTTTATGTCCTAATAGAAAACACTATCAAAACAATTTCATATCAAATTTCCACTTTTATAGGTGATTATGACCTGCTGGAAAGCACAGCCCAGTCTCCCTTAGGTAAGAAACAAAACCATGGATTCTTTCTCTTTTTATTTTAACTCTGTTAAAAAGGAAGCTCCAAGCTTTTTCTCCTGTTATTTAGGTATTATTTTCTAATCAGTTCTAATTATGGTGACACATTTTCTAGTGCATTACTTTTAGCAACATTACGAAAATTTATTCCTCCACAATTGAGCCTTGCAATCTAGCAAGTATGTTGTTATAAATTATATCTACCTGCTTAACAGTAATTACTAAATGGTGTAAAGGAAAGTCAACACCATGATTCAGTGGTTATTTTCCACAGAAAACTAGGGATGAATGTGTAAGAGTAATTTACCAAAATTTGCCAAGTAATGCGATGTTCTTAAATGAATGCTGTGATTAAATAGATATATTCTGCTGCATGGATAGCAAACAGAGTCTCTAAAAATAAGGTCACTTCTAGTGTTATGAGCTACTTGACTAAACTACTAAGAATGCAAAGCAGCACAACATTAAGTAAAGCAAAAAAAAATCAACTTGGAAATTTCCATCAATTTTGGTCAAGGTACAGCTCAAGCTCAAAAAACTGTAATAGTTTGATCAATGGAAACTGTTTTATTGTGCTGGAGAGGAATAAGTGGAGCTAGCAGCCCAGCTCTAAATTTTCAGCTAGGTCATAGAGCTCAAGAGTAATGGTGCTTAAAAAGAACATCACTGGGGTTGTCTCACCTTAGGCAACCTCAGTAAGAAAGTGAGTGTCAAGAGACACTTTCGTCTTCTACCCTGAACTCCTGTTTCCCAATACAGTTTTAAGCCTTTTGACTGTTTCAGTGAAAGTTATTTAGGAACTAGTCCTTATATGAGATTAACAAAATAATTAGTGTAAAAAAAGAGAAAAAGAGAATGAGGTTTTCTCTGAGCCAGTTTTGAGCCTCCTTGCAAATGCTTTAGAGTAAGGTTGTAAACTAGGACTGGAAAAAATAAAAGGCAGAGGAATGTGAGAAGCTATGAAACAGGTTTGAAATTGTCAACTGAAGCTACACTGGGCATCTGGAGATGTCAAAGAACTTATTGAAACAGAGATGGAGAATAGATTCCCTCTCCATCTTTCCTTTATTTTCCTACAGACCCTCCTCACAAAGTCACTCTCAGATCGGAGCCTAGGCTCAAACACAAACGAGTGGGATACATGTTATCTGACTGGAGGAGAACAATCCAACTGCCTCACCATAGATATATAACGGCCATTTGACATATCCAACAGTACCCTGCCTGGCTTCCAGCAACTGCTCCAGAAAATCATGTTAGCTTTGTGTTTTCTTGCCAGTCCCATGTAGATGCCTCAGATATAGACAATCTTAAACTGCACAAAGAGCCTACCTATATTTAAGCATTGGGCTTAACCTTTAGCCATCTGATGTGTAAATGTCTACATTGAAGCCATATTCCTTAGATGCCTTTCAAAGTCAATGGAGAGAAATAGACATTTATCTGACCCGTGGTTTAGATAATCACTTGAGAATGAGATCTTTGGTGGCCTGGAGGCACTGGCTATACTGATTAAATCATTTTTGCTGTCTGGGGGCCAGCTATAGTAGTAGACATCTGTAGGTGCCTATTTTAGAACTGAGTCATTAAAGATGTCACTAAACTTGCAAGATACCATTAAAGTCTTCTATGGCTAGCCAGATAAATAGTACCCCCTGTGGTACTGTGAGGTTTCTGGTAGTCGTGTACCAAGGACAGGGAAGCTATGTCCTGGTGTTTGCTTCAATAATGTCACATTCCCAACTGTACTTGACATAGGGGACATCAGCAGAAATTGCACTGAAGATGGCTGGTCTGAACCTTTTCCTCATTATTATGACGCCTGCGGCTTCGATGAAAATGAAACAGAGTCTGACAACCAGGTGGGAATTAATTTTATAATTAAAAACAAATGAAGAGGGGGAGCAGCAGGCTGCTCTTTGTCCAGCCTCTGGTTAGGTTCTGATTTGATGGTGATTAGAATGAAACAATCAGATATCCTCACATAAAAATGTGAGAAGCAAGATGTAAATCCTTCCTAGCACTTCCAGAATATGAGTGTTTATTGTTGATACAGCTTGTAACTTCTAGAAACATGAGTTAACCCCCAGTTCTTCCCCTTTTAACTAATGAATCCCTTAGCCACTACTTTTTTTTCTACAGATACATGCACAGTGGTCAAAGAAATATAGACAAGCTTTGCTAGCTCACTGACAAATAAGCTTCACAGTATGCTGACCCAAGGGTATGTCAGACAGAGCAATGTTCTAATATACAGTGAGTTCTCAGGGGAAAAAAGAGGAGAAAGCAACCAGGATGTTCAAGAAACAAATCCTGCCTATGATTCCCCCTGCACGTTGACAGGGTAAAGAAGATGTGACCGTAGATGAACCATATAACCATGTGTTGTTTGCCTCCCAAGGATTACTACTATCTCTCTGTGAAGGCTCTGTACACTGTGGGATACAGCACTTCTCTTGTTTCCCTTACCACTGCCATGGTTATCCTGTGTCGTTTCAGGTGAGTCAGGACATGAGCAGTGAGCTGTTCAGTCACTGGAGTAAAGAGTTTGGAGCTCATCAGCCCAAAATAACATTTAAACTCTTCTCTCATCCTATGTAGAAAAACAGATAGACAACCCTTTAATAGAGTTATTACCCTAGCTTGGACATGCTCCAGGAGTCACATTTCGGTAGGCTGTAGATGCAACTGCAGAAGCTGTGGGTCTCTTATGCAACTGCAGTAGCTGCATTGCACTGGGTCTATTTTATGCTACATTGCATGTTTTTACAGGAAAACCTCCAAATCACCCTCTTGTTCATGTTTAGGGTTGGTCTTATCCACACTCTTGGCTTTCAGACATTGCTATTCTTATCACCAAGGTGCTAGGAGCTCTGACCATGTGTGCAGATAGGCCTAGTATGCTACTTCCACAAAAGAAAAGTCTTTTTTTTTTTTTTCTTTTTTCTTTTTCTCCTTTTCATATCCCTTGCTCTTTCCTCTCTAGGAAGCTCCACTGCACTAGAAATTTTATCCATATGAACCTTTTTGTTTCATTCATCCTACGTGCAATATCCGTATTCATTAAAGATGGGGTTCTTTATGCTGAACAGGATGGCAACCACTGCTTTATCTCAACAGTAAGTAATACCAAAGACAATTCCTTTTTTTTTGTTTGTATTTTTTTGTCAGCAGGAGATAACAAAAATAGTCAGGCAGACAGCAGTCTGTTGGATAACACAGGCTGAAAAGTTCTTGGGAGAGGAGGTAATTGGTGGTAAATTTCCCTCCAGGTTCACAGAAAAACTGTGGATGGTATTGTCTCATGATGTCATCAGTGTCTAGTGGTCTGTCCTTTAGGACAAACCTACAAGTTTTGGTTTCTGACTACTCAGGTTCTTTCTCCCTTTCACAGATCTGCATAGTGATAGGCGGGATGAGAGCATTCACAAGCAATTTCCTTCATCTGGAGGTCTGTTTTTTCTCCAGAGTCTTTTTTATTCTAGATGTCAGGCAGTTATGTGTAGAGAGGGTGGCCATTCAGACATAGAAAATGCCCCTGATCATCACACTCTCAGAAATCATTAGTATTAGCCACGTGTTTGTCTCTGATGTGTGTGGTTTCATGGAAAGCAGCCTCTTTCACAGATGCTGTATATTACATGTAAATCCCAGTTCCTTTCACATTTAAAGCCAGTATTTTATTTGATAAATCAGCTCACTGGGTGTAATTATGGTGGAATTACAGCAAGTTCCAAAACTGAGATCTCCTTTATCCATCCAGTTATGAGCTAAATTCACCATGACTCACTTCCACAAGGAAAGTGCAGCTGTGTAGCTTCTTAGTCAGCCTTTTCTTTGTTATTGAAACTAGTTTCTGCTTTTAATTCTTCTCCATGTGCAAAGCTGAATCCATGTTAGATCTGCAGTTCACACCACTCTTCTAATATTGACATCCTCCTTTTTGTTTTGAAAAATGCTAAAATCAACCATCTAATTACCAGATATTCAACACTGATAGAACTTTCATGAAGAAACTCAAGATGTGATGGTTTAAACATATTGTTTGTAGATTTGTCCTAGAGGGTGGAGTGCAAGTGGGAAAAATGCCAGCCTCCCACTGCACTAGGAAGGAGCTTCCAGTTTATACACTGATTCTGCTCTGATTTGTTGAAAAGTCCTGCTTTTGTAGGACTAATGATGTCTCACAGAGATGCAACACTGGAAAGGTAAGTGTGTTCTACTCTCAGAGTCAGGGTAGAACTCAGTTTCCATCTAAGGCTTTAATCATAGACTCATAGAACAATTTAGACTGGCAAAGACCTTTAAGGTCATTGAGTCCAACCATAAACCCAACACTGCCAAGTCTACCACTAAACCATGTCCCTAAGTGCTACATCTACACATGTTTTAAACACCCCCAAGGATAGTGACTCCACCACATCCCTGGGCAGCCTGTTCCAATGATTGACAACTATTTCAGTGAAGAATTTTTCCTTAATATCCAATCTAAATGTCCCCTGGCAAAACCTGAGGCCATTTCCTCTCCTCCTATCATTCGTCACTTGGAAAAGAGACCGACCCCCACCTCTCTACACCCTCCTTTCAGGTAGTTGTAAAGAGCGAGAAGGTCTCTCTTCAGCCTCCTTTTCTCCAGGCTCAACAACACCAGTGCCTTCTTTTTTGTCCTTTTTCTTCTGCTTTCCTCTCAGTAAATGAATGCAAGGTTCTATGGTTTTTACAGTAAAACACTCTACTTTCTTTACACTTATGGTCACTTTAATTTTCTTTCCCTGAGTAACAACATCCAGAAATGACATGGTGTGGTGGATTGACCCTGGCTGGATGCCAGATGCCCACCAAAGTACGCGCTATCACTCCCCCTCCTCAACTGGGCAGGGGGAGAAAAATATAATGAAAGGCTTGTGGGTGGAGATAAGGACGGAGAGAGATCACTCACCAGTTACTGACACGGGCAAAACAGACTCAACTTGGGGGAAAAAAGAAATTTAGTTTATTACCAATCAGACAAGAGGATAATGAGAAGTAAAACCAAATCTTAAAACACTCCTCTCCACCCCTCCCTTCTTCCTGGGTTTAACTTTTCTCCCGATTTCCACCTCCTCCCCTCAGTGGCACATGTTGACAGGGAATGGGGGTTGGAGTCAGTTCCTCACACATTGTTTCTGCTGCTCCTTCCTCCTCAGGGGGAGGACTCCTTCCCCCACACCAACCTGGGGTCCCTTTCATGGGAGACAGTCCTCCACTAACTTCTCCAGCGTGAGTCCTTCCCATGACTGACAGTTCCTCACGAACTGTTTTAGCATGGGTCCATACAGACGGCTCCAGCGCAGGCCCCCCACAGGGTCACAAGTCCTGCCAGCAAACCTGCTCCAGCCTGGGCTTTTCTCTCCATGGGGCCACAGATCCTGAGAGGAACCTGCTCCAGCACGGGCTTCCCACAGGGTCACAGCCTCCTTCAGACCTCCGCCTGCTCCAGCGTGGGGTCCTCCAGGGGTTACAGGTGGTCATCTACTCTACCATGGACCTCCATGGGCTTCAGGGGGACAGTCTGCCTCACCGTGGTCTTGACCACAACCACAAGTTACAGGGGAATCTGCTCCAGCGCCTGGAGCACCTCCTCCCCCTCCCTCTTCCCTGACCTTGGTGTCTGCAAGGATTGTTTCTCTCCCATCTTGTCACTTCTCTCTCTCGCTGCAGTGTGCAGGGGTTTTTTGTTTTGTTTTGGTTTGGTTTGGGTTTTTTTTCCCCTCCCCTTTTTTTCTTAATTATGTTATCCCAGAGGTGTTACTGATTGGCTCGGCCTTGGCCAGCAACAGGTCCATCTTGGAACCGGCTGGCATTGGCTGTGTCAGATGCTTCTGGCAGCTTCTCACAGAAGCTACCTCTATGCCCCCCAGCCCTGCTACCAAAACCTTGCCACACAAACCTGATACACATGGAAGTACAATTCTCAACTGCACACAGTAGGGTGCATCCTTTCTGATCCCATTCTCAGGGCTTTCCACAATTGTCCTGCCATTTCACATCCTTCCTTAGGTTTCTCAATAAACAACTGGATTCTTTTATTCTCTGCACTTAATTCTTGGAAGGGGGCTTAAATCTAGCAATTAGCATCCATTGACAATGTGAACTCCCACTAACACAAGAGGTTCTCAAGCTGTCTGCAGATGCTCGTTGACCACCTCCCACTGGTAAAATTGGCTACCTGCCTTTTAAATCTTAGCTCTCTAAGTGGCACCACACATTCTTCTCATGCTTTTAAAACTTTACTATTTAAAGTGTATAATGCCATTCACAGCTGTGTTCTTTTCCACTGAGAGATTTGGAGAAGTTGAAAGCATTTTCTCTATCTGTTAGGTGGAAACAACATGGAAATAACTTTGTTTTTCTTGATTCTCTGCAGGTGGAATGTAAAGCAGTGATGGTGTTTTTTCACTACTGTGTCATGTCCAACTACTTCTGGCTTTTCATTGAGGGATTGTACCTTTTCACTTTATTGGTAGAAACCTTTTTCCCAGAGAGGAGATATTTCTACTGGTACACTATTATTGGCTGGGGTACGTGACATTTCTTGTCTAAAATGTGTTTCGGTGTGCAAGACAACTCCATGAATCATCTAATATTTCCACATACAGTTTCAAAGCATAGTTTTAGTCTTTGCATAAAGTACCACTGCAGACTGAATCATGTTGTGCTTTTTGTCTGGATAGACTTGAACTGAAATCTGGAGGACACCACATCTTTGGCAGAGATGTAGTCCACCAATGAGAATTGCCTTCTAGAAGATAGAATCTTAATACAAAGTTCTTCAGCTTAATCAAATTTTCAATGCTACGCTGAGTCCATTTTCTAAGACTTTATTTGTGCCTTTCTTCCAGATAATAGTTAAATTGAGAACATATCCAAACGGTATCCACATATGCTCCTCATACCTGGGTGGGAAATGGAAACTTGCAATGGGAAGAAACAAGATTTGTTTCAGAAAGACCAGTTATATGATGATAACTGATTGATTCCTTTAACATGTTAATTCAAACAGTTCTTTGGTGATGTTTTTGTGCAGAAATCAGATGGTGAATGCAGAAGAATACATTCATTTTAAATGTGTCCTAATAAGGTCAAGCTTAATTCTTATATTTAAGCAAACATACTTCTGCAACGATCTGGAAATAATAGTGTATATTTATGTGTAAAGTCTACATATAAACCATATGGTTTAAAGTATTCTCCTTAAAAAAAGCATCCTTATGCAACCCAAATCTTCAAGTAATCCACAGATGGTTCTGTTTTTTCCCTCATGAGGCAACTGTATATACACAAAAATTCTCCTGGCAAAAACTCCCTGTGATAGGAGCAAAAGTACAGAGAAGAAAGAAACAAAGAAGTGATCAGAAATAACCTATGGCATATAAAGGGTATTGGAAAAGGATGACTATCAGAAAAGAAACTAATGGAAAGCGATGCTCAAACTTCCCCTTGTACTATCCACAGATGTATAATCACACTAGAGCTGAGATATAAGACTGTTTTCAAAGAGAATTTGGGGGCTATGTACATGTACATAAAAGAAAACAATGTCTAAATTTTTACAATCTGAACATGAATCAGAGGTTGGATTCCTTTAATTAAGTTTGCACAAATTTAATATCTGCAGGTTTGTCTGAATGTGAGAATATTGAAACAATATATTAACTGATTTTTTATATTTTTTTAAGCAGTTTCTGTAGTGAAAGAACTACCCAAATTAATTCATTCTGTAATGCAACCTCAAAAATATTTGGTCTTGAGTTGAATACCAGAAACAATATCTAGCTGTTCAGTTTGTAGATATCACTTCATATGCAAAGCAGTATCAATAATATCCATTCATAACCCCAAGACAATCTCCAAATGTGGATGGTTTTCTTTTTATTTTGTTTTTAAATGCAATCTTTTTCTCAGCTCTTGCATGTTTCAACTTGAACAACAGTTTTCCTGACCTGGTAGGAACAATTGACACTTTGCAAGAACAGAAGCACTTCCAGACTCTGGATGGAGGGCATCATGTAGGGCAAAAGCAGCCCCTCAGCTCAGAGCTGATGGGGAGGGAGTTGCATTGAAGCAGCAATAAGCAACAGCTCAGCATTTTACAGCATCTGGATGTTTATCTGTTTCTTAAAATGTGCTGAGCACATCAGTGTCCTCATTTGGTTAATAAGAAGTACATATGGCTGTGTTGATCCAGACATTTTTTTTTCCTCTTAAATATGTAATATGCTGATAAGTTTTCTGGATAGACTATTGTCTTCCTGAGATCTCTCCTAATGCCTGCTCCTTACTCAGGGCAGAAATATTGTCAGCAAGAATAACTCTCTTTTCAGCCTTTGAGGCTTGTCTGTTTTCTAATTTTACTCAGAAGCTGAAGATGATGAAGATATAGATATATTTGATGTAAAGAAAAGTAGTGTGACTGTATGTATATTCATATAGTAGACAGTTCAAAACTCCAAGCTGATCTGAAATGCGTTTTTTGAACTAGATTTTTATGACACATTTAGTCTAATTTTGCCTTCTTGCTCATGTTTCAGACTTGGAACACTGTTCATACCATCAAAATTTATATAGTGCAAATTAGTGAATCCAGATAACATGTTAGACCCATGACTGATATGTAAAGACTATTTTTATTATTGTGTATCTGTAGAGTGCACAAAGTTCTCCATGTTTTCTAGGTATTCTCATGTGAGAAAAGTAGACTTCAATTTAAATTAAATATGCATGATTTCTTCTCCCCAAAGCCTGTAATTTTATTTCTTCTTATCATTTTCCTTTCAAATATTTCTGTGGGTGCTTTTTTAAAGGAGGAAAGCTTCGTCAGTCATCTAGATCTAACAGGGATATTTTTATTTCTGATAGCAGGAATACGAGGTTTGACAGAGACTTATTTAAATGGATTCAGTCAGATGACTAATTAATGTGACATCCACACAGCCTTGCAAAATGTATGAAACATAATTGTTCCTGTCAACTTATAACAGTCTCATTCACTGCTACAAGCTGGGGTGATCAAGGTCCTTGTTTTGTTTGCTTTTTAGCACTTTATCTTCCCAGTGCTGCCTGAATAAATGCAGGCAGTTTCCTAGTCAAATATTTTACTTACTTTAAAATGTAGATCCTTACTTACCCAGTTTTCTTGCAAGACTATGTTATTTTAGAAAAAAGATTTCCACTGAAAAACTGCACTTTTAGTGTTTTCAGAAAGGAAAATAAATCCAAATTTATCAGTGGATTCTTACTGTTTTGATTTACTTTGTATTTTACATGCATTTTTAAAGAGAAAATGAATATCTGAAATAAAAAAATAAAATTCTTGCTCCCAGTATTCTCTTTTGAAGGTTGTTTTGGGTTTTTTTTCTTTTTTTTTTCTATGAAAAAAAATTCCTGTGATTAATGGAATATTGTCCTTTACTGATTTATTTTGATTGAATAGGTAAAGCAAAATCAGTTATTTACACAATAACAGAGAAAATGTAATGTATACAAATCATTTACAACAAAACTATGTAAGAATACAAAGAATAGGATAATGCCATTACAGCTCAACATCTGCTACTCTCCAATTATTGCATAATTACAGGAGCTCTAAACATGGAAGCTGATGTCACTGCTTTTATTTTGTACAGACTATGTTTTAATGTTCATGCAACAAGATGCAGTACAACTTCAGGCAATAATTACCTGAAAAATATCATTCTTTCTTCTTACTAGTTTTGCTTCTGCAATCGCACCAAGACTAACCCATCCTCTGACTGAGAGAAAAGTTTCTAGAGGTCTGAATTAATATAATGAATTGCATTTTTTTTAATGCATGAATATTATTAAGAAATAAAACCTCAGAGGAGAGGTTGCAAAAAATGCTTATTGCTGAGTACTAAATGTGTCTAGACTGCTAAAAATATCACCATCTTATCTTCTACAGGTACCCCAACAATTTGTGTCACTGTCTGGGCAGTGCTGAGACTTCACTTTGACGATACTGGGTAGGTATTGTTGTGTGGGAAATAATTTCACACGCATTCAGCATGATGGCAAGGGTGAAACAGAAATATAGTGACCAGAGGACATGACTGATTCCTCCTTCCAATACATTGAGTAGTGTATCCAAGTAGTTTAGGTCCAGTGTTCAACCTAGAGTGTGTTCCTTTTCAGCTGCATAAATAGCCATAGTTTGATGTTTATATCACTCTTGAATTCATAAAAGATGTAACTATCTACCCTATAAACATGCAGTTGTACACTGGTGAATTCATAAAAGAAGATGTAGGTATCTACCCCATAAACATGCAGCTGAGCCAGTGGCCCTCTTCCATGCACAGTTAAATTACTGGAGTCAAGGATATAGTTTATCTCCTCTTAAAAGAGCTATCAGGTGAATTATACCTGTGTTGGTCTTCTCTCCAACTGATTATGTAGAAAGATGAACATGATGAGCTCATCTGTAGAAATTATTGCAGATATCTCTGATGTGATGAGTGAAATCTGCACAAGAAGTTGTTGAGCTGTGATTTGCAAAGGCAATTAGGAGTTTAAATTCTCCTTGATGAGTTTTTTCCCACAAATCTAGTGGGAGAGGTAAATAGAGGAGAGACAGAAATCCACATCCTGTCTTCTGTGTGTGTGTGTGTGGCGGGGGAAAGAGGAAATGGAATAATTTCAGAAAGAATTCAAGACTGTAGATTCTACCCAAATGGTCTTTTTCTATACAGAAAAAAAAAATGTCCTTTTCTAAAGGACCAAAAGGAAAGGTTATTCCCTTAGATGGTTCTGCATGTCTCTGTAATCAGGAGATTGACTGATAGAGCAGGAGACATAGCTGATAAGAATGGACATGAATGTACACCTTGAAAACACAAGTTTTGCATTTTTTTATTTTTTTTAATTTTTTTTTCTTGACAGCTATGTTTGAAATTAATGAAATATTAGGGAAAATGCTGAGTATGAGGGAGACTGAAGTTGGACTACATGCTCATTGTAGATCCCTTCCAACTGAAATATTTTGTTCTATTATTTTTTATTCTATTCTATTTTAAAATTTGGTAAATCCAGCAATTGTCCTTCAAAAACCTTAATCTGAGTCAACTGTGTCATTATGTACCCAAGTCCCATTTCCAAGAGACTTAGGCTTATGTTTTAATTTTGCCTTATACTAGAGATACCTGGATCCAAACTTTGCACAAGACTCTGTTCTATCAGGTTTTTTTCATCCTTGTTCTTCCATACTCTTTTGGAAAGCACATAAACCCTTCCTCCACTGCAGATATAAGTCCTTTGACCCAATGTTCTATTTTAACATTAAGACAAATTAAATCAATTATTTCCATGCAAAACAAGCCAGAAACCCCTGTTGTGTCATTATTATGATTACAACATCGGTCCTAAATGCATTAATTTCTCTTGAGTCCAAACAGTCCTTGCATTTTGCAAGTAGAGGGAATATTTTGCAGAAGAAAAAAAAAAAAAAAAACAACAACAAAAATCTTTTCCTTTCTTTTAGTTAGAGAAGCTATTTAACATGCAACACATTTCAACAGATTCTAGCTGAGCGTCTCAGTGGTTACTTTTTAAAAATCAGCAAGCATTGTTCTGAGGGTGGGGGAGAAGCCAGCATGAGCCTGAAAACATTGCAGAAATTACTGAACTGGGAAACCACAGTCGCAAAGGCATGGACAAAAATACAGATTCTGAGTCTAAGTCTCCTCCTGCTTGTTCCTTATAAAACTGGCAGACCTCCCTTGACTTCAGCCTGATTCACATCACTGTCAGTGACAGGTTTGTGGAGATAAATACAACTGTCTGTTTATCCAGAGCTGTGCTACCGAATTAAATGGAGTTATTCCAGATGTACACCAGAGATGTAACAGACATCAGGCTCTGCCCTTTTCAAATGGAAATCACATCCCTCCCACAACCCACTGGCTCCTTTCCCTTCATCCATCCTGAAAAAGAGTCCTGTGTGTCTGACCTCTACCGTAGCAATGAATTTAAAAGAAATTAGGGAGCCTGTTTATGTAGTACAGCTTGTTGGTTGTTATTAGAGAGAGTTCTGTTATGCATTGCTATTTTTTTTTTTCCTTCTGATCGTGTTCATCTGAGGAGAAGATTGTGTTTCTTCCACCATATTCATCCTATAGATGTCACAGGGATTAGACAAAAAAAGTCCTGGAAAAAACCTTTGTGTGATTTTGGTCTGATTCATTGTTGACATCTACAAGGTAGATACTGGCAACTGAGCTTACTGGGGACATATCCTGTAAAAGCACAAGAACAGATATAAGAATAGGCATTTGTAGGGGGTGATGTATGTCCCCAGAGTACACATTTAAAATACATCAGTGTAGGAAAAAAAATAAACAAAACCCCAAAACAAAAACAAAACCTTAAATCAACAACCTCCAGGTGTCTATTTATCCCATTCAGACTCTGGGATAATTAGCTGGGCTGTAGATGTCTTCAATATAGATGACTGGAACAAGAGTAGATAGATTCCATCTCGTGTAATTTCTCATTTCTACACAGACAAAAGTGCCATACATTATTGCCTGTTTGTACAGCCAGATTAATATTAAAATTTGCTTAGATTCTTCTAGCATTGGTCAACTTCCTAAAAACTGTCAAGGTATATTTAAGGTGCATCTAAAAGAGACTGACCTCTACATATAATTTTCAGAAGGCAGTACCTAATTTATAAATACATACAAAGTATTAAAAAGATAATTAATTATTTAAGGTGGTTTTTTTTTTGTGGCATACGAATGTTGATAACTGTAAAGAGCCTGATTTACAGACTGGGTGAAAAGGAGTTCCCTCTGAACATTTGTCTCCTTTCAAATATTTTAAGTTGGGCATCCAAAATAAGATTAGCTCAGAAACGTTACTTTGCATTTGAAAATCCGTAGATCTTGAGGGATTTTAATTTTCTAGTCATTCTAGATAGAAGCAAAAATATGTGATTTTATGCAAATTTGACATCCCAACTCTAAACCTTCTCTCTTCTCACCAGCTCTACCACACACATCTTTATTGTTGTTTTTATGGGAATCTAGTAAAATATTGCACTTATAAATTCAACTGACATTTTTAAATCAGACATAGTTCAACTGTGAAATTTCTAAACCAGACATCACTCAGCTGCTTGGAATTTCTCTCACATGTGTTTTGATGACGGAAATTTAGTTCTGCTTCCTCACACTTACACATGTATATAGTTTTGTTTAAAGTAAAGATTTTTCACTTTTCCCCCAGATGCTACCAGACTACCATTTAAATGACACAGAATATGCATTAAACTCTCATAAGATCAACAGTGTTTTATGCCCGTGTATTCTTTCAAGTTGTTTCTTGGCATCTGACAAATGCACCATGACAACCACTGCTGGGATATTTGGCTGTTGTCCCAGTGGGAGGGAAATCCTCCTTCTTAGAACTGCAGGTGCAAAGTAGACATTTTTCTGTGATTTTATGTTTTCCAGAGGGAAGCATGAAGGGAAGAAAGCAGAGACAAATAAAAGACTTTTTTGAAGTGACAATCAAATTTTTAATGACTTAAAATAGTACAGCAGGGTGGTGTGGCAGGGGAAATAAGTGGGGTTTTTTTCATTATTATTGTTTTTCTAGCTTTAAAAATATATGTTAAAGTTAAAACCCCATATGCATATGGGTCATAGAATCCTAGAATGGTATAGGTTGGAAGGGACCTTAAAGATCATCCAGTTCCAACCCCCCTGCCATCAGCAGGGACACCTTCCACTAGACCAGGTTGCTCAAAGCCTCATCCAACCTGGCCTTCAACACTTCCAGGGTGGACCATCCACAGCTTCTCTGGGCAACCGGTTCCAGTGTCTCACCACCCTCACAGTGAATAATTTCTTCCTCAGATGTCATCTAAATCTACTCTTGTCCAGTTTATAACCATTGCCCCTTGTTCTGTCACTCCCTGCCATTGTAAAGAGTCCCTCCTCAGCCTTCCGGTACATCCCCTTCAGGTACTGAAAGGTTGCTATAAGGTCCTGTAATTAGGTATCTCTACAAATGAACATCCAAATAAACTTCAGCTGAATGCTTTGGTGAATCTGGATGAAGACTTTAAATGCTGAAATAGAAATGCCATTTTATGATCATTCACTCCCAACAGCTTAAACAAGCAGCTGACCCTAACTGTTGTCCAGGACTTGAACCTTCTTAGATGATTCCTTGCTCCTTTTTAGGACTTGCAACGCAATGACTGGAAAATCATTCCTATATGCAAATATAACCAGTCTTTAGTACATCCTTGTGTACTAGAAATGCATAAGAGTTCTCATGTCTGAGTCAGGAACTAACATTCATATCTGTTTACCTTGGAAAAGTAACCGAGACATTAGATTTTGGAATAACCCTCTTACCTTCCAGAGTATCCCTGTCTTTTTTTTCCCTTCTACTGAGATGTCAGCTTCAAGGGACAATTTTACCGTTCTCTCTGTAGACACAGAAACACACATAAAGGCATTTTCCAAAATGGCTAAACTGTTTAGTAAGACGTACTATTGAAATTGCCAGAAAAATACTTATTTTACTTTCAGATAAGTTGGGTAAAATCTGTAAAAGAAAGCTAAAACACAGACAGACTAAAGAACTAGTACCTTTGAACCGAAATAAAATAGTTTAGTTACAAGAGTAATCATCCAATCCCTGCCCCCTTTGAAATTGTTGTAAGTTTATTAACTTCCTTGTTATGTCTTTCTTTTTCCTTTTCCTTCTCTTTCCCCACCTCATTCTTTCATTAACAACTACAGCTGCTGGGACATGAATGACAACACTGCCTTGTGGTGGGTGATCAAAGGTCCCGTGGTTGGATCAATCATGGTAAGTAGCACTTGGAGGAGGTGCTTCCTCAACATTTATGAGGGCAAATAACCAATGCAAATAGTTTCAAATTGTTTTACAAACTATGCTGCATCAGCTGTGCTGGACTACTGGACAGCTTCTCTGAATGTCCACCATTTGCCATCCGCAATGCTAAGTAACTCCATTGTTATGAAGAAGGTTTAGTACAAGTGATTGTGCATTGCCTACAAGCCAAGACTGTGTAGACATGGAGTTAGTCAGGTATTTAAACACAGATAGTAAATGCCACAAGTTAAACCCTACAGCATATGGAGCATTTATTTGGGGCTGGCAGGTATGACACAGAATGTATGGAAACCTGTGCCATTTGAGGTGGCAGTTGAAGGCCAAGTGAGACAACCCAAGGCATCTAAAACAATACTAGATGCCAGGAAACTGGACTATGTCTGTTGAAAGGAATTCATTTCACAGCTACCTTTAATTATCTAATATTAGCTTTAGAATAATATTGTGGATAAAGTGCAAGATGCTCAATTGCCAACAACATATCTAAACTCTGTTTAGTTGATGGAGGTCTTGAATTTCAACTCAGATGATGCTAGATACTTGTATATGGATGACTGAGAGGTTCTAAACTACCCTGTTTGGGCTTCAGTTGCTTCCCCCCAAAAATATGGGAATTTTCAAATGTTGTTGGGCTCCTCCAGTTAGGAAATTAAATTAAGCTCTATCCCAGGTGAAACCAGGATATTAAAGGTAATTCAGCTAATAATACTGAAGGATATCAAGATGGAGAGGGTCCAAGGGTCTGGGGTTCTTGTGATACCAATGTATGTGAATTTCTACCCTTTACAGACATATTCTATGAAAGATCATGTTCTGGCTTTGGGGAATCAGTTGTATCTGGATGCTATTGAAAGAATTAAAGATTCAAGCAACTAGCAAGGATCAACTGGTCTTCTCTATTCATTTGTAGATAAAAAAGTCTTCTGAAACAAATGCTCACATCTAGTTTAAATTCTTGGTCTGCTTACAGTAGTAAAAGGTATCAACTCAAAGTACCTTTTATACTGTTTTCTTCTGGCATTAAGAAGCTATGGAGTTGTTGACAGCTAAATCTGAAGCCAAAGCATCGAAGTAAAATGAATTTATTAATTTCAAAATTTATAAAACTACCACAGTAATTACATGATTCTATGAAGAGAAGATGCCTAAGATGACATAAAACTAAGAGACATGAATGTTAACACCCACACCCTCCCCCACACACCCCTCTCTTCCCTTCCGAAAACATTAGAGGTCTTCTCATCTTGGCCAGATTCAGCCAAGCAGAGGGAAAGTCACACAACTTGGGATTTTCAGGAAAGGTTGGCACTAAATTGTGACTGATGGATACTGCTAAACTGAGAAGTACCTTAGTTCAGAGAGTGGTAGTTAAAGATGCTTTTACTGTTGAGATCTTTGCTATATGGTTTTGATGTTCAGGGATCTTTCTTTTTATTCCTTGCACTGTATGATAATGAAAAATATTGAAACATTTTTGTTTCTGTTTGTCTTATCTGGTGCTTGGGACTGAGTAGATTCTGCCTTACTTTAGTTGATTTTATTTATTTTTGTTAGGGATATTTTTGCCTGGAAAAGTGGTGATAAAACTCTTGTAAACTTATTTCATTACTCCTCACCTTATAGAACTGCAGTTCAAGAAGAATAAGGCAATGGAGCCAGCAAGTCACTGAGGTTTTCTCATTCTTATACTTGAAAAAAATATGTCATTGTCATAATTTTTTCCTTTCTTTTTCCTCTAGATAAACTTTGTACTGTTTATTGGCATAATTGTGATACTTGTGCAGAAACTGCAGTCACCTGATATCGGGGGCAATGAATCCAGCATTTACTTGTAAGTACAAATAAATCAGTAATTAATTTAGATTTCTAATATACACATAGGAAAAAAGACAAAGTCAAAAAAGACACCTCAGTTGAATTAATTTGATTTTCAAAAAGTGTCACAGGATCTATTAAATTACTTTGGTTGATTTTTACTTTTTTTTTTTAACCCAAAAGCCATTAAAATGCATTTCAATGGCAGCTTTCAACTTTCTCTAAAGGCCTAGAAAATAAGTATAAATAAAAGATTTGAAACAAAACAAAACAAAGCTTCTTTATAGGTCAGTTGTCTGGAAATTAACATACTGACCAGGCATATATATTATTATACTCATGGGACAGTCTGTTGTGCTTCATACATTCCAGGGTCATGGTCCAAATTTCATTGAAAGCAATGAGTTTTGGTAAAAAGATTTCATTAAATTTGGACTAATTTCTAATATAGGAAGATCTCCTGAAGTTGCTTATGTTCATATTTCTTGTAACCTTGAGTGCATTCTACTTAAGCCAAACAATTGCCCCACACAACTAGAATTGTTTAAAAATTAACAAAAAAACCCCTAAAATTTTACTTTAGAAATTTTAAAACTATATGATTCACATTTTTTTAAAGCCAGCTTCCCTTTTTGTTAGTTTCCACCTCATTGGAGGACAGAGATTGACCATTTGAGATGGTAGTCATTCCCATTTTGATTGCATGCAATCGTTCCTCATATAAAAATTATATAATAAATTTTAATAACTAGGATATGTGGCAGCACATTTGGTGTTTTCACCAAACACCATGCACAATTGCTTTGCAATTTTTTGTGAAGACTAGTGATTTCTAGCACTCCTAAATATAGGTAAGACTCATTTAGCACTAGATTCCTGTTGAAAAAAGAAGGCGAGTCATGCAAATCTTAAATAAATAAAAAATGTCAGGGTAATGTAGGAGATCCTTATTTTGTAGTACTTTTTCTTAAAATGATCCAGTGATCAGTTTCACCCTAAGTAACCACACTCATAGTACAATCATGTCATCCATCTAAATGACAGTTTTCAGGGAAAAATATGTCCTCCAGCTGCTTATTTTTCTTCCCTTTTTTCCTATTGTCTTGTTTATATTTCCGTGAAATAATAAAGTTTTGTACATCCTTTTTCATGTCTGTAGTCAGACATCCATTGAACTGAAAGTACTGCCCTTGAAACTTGCTCTAAACTGTGTTTCCACAGCCAAAAATAATGCTTTAAATTTATTCTGCAGGTGGATAGATCTCAGAATTAAAAAAGCAGGAGAAAGTGTAGTGGATAGGTTAATTGTATGCATGCTTTGTCCAGGGCTTGCATGAAGACTTCCCATCTATGTGCTGCTGGGAAGTCGTCCACTGAATCTTAGCTTATAATTAGCACCCAAAATGTGCAGAGCAAGTTCTGATTATGACCTGCTAAGTGCATGTTTGGTATCTGCTGCACATCTCTCACATATGAAGCAAAGCATGCCACAGCCTCCAGTGATTTAACTAGATTATAAAACACCCTTGTCATTTTTGATCAATATGGTGACTGAGTTTTACTGGTATTTTTCCTATGTGTATAGTTAGCCACCAAAACCAAGAGAAAACATCATATTTTCTGTTTCATTCGCTGCCATTATTTTTCACATTTTTTTGCAATTTTATAAATAGGTGTGTATAAATTGATCTTGCATTTATGTATGTGTTATGAAGTGGAGTGTTGTTTATCCAAACAGATATGACAACAGAAAAGTCACACTGAAATGATAAAAAGAAATGAAAAGAATAAGTCTATGCAGATATACACCAAACATATTCAACATTTTATCCTGTAAAAAGAGTGTTGTTTACAAGGAAGAAAAAAGATAGATCATAGTATGGTTATGTCACCATATTGAAATCTCTGTGGCATTTAGACTGTGGTCCTTATTAGGCATTTTCCATGTCCTATTTTGCTGTTTCAAATTACAAAACATCATCCCATCAGACCAAATTCTCCATCCACACCTTTATTCACAATCTATTTAAGTACTTTGCCTTTAGTATATGAGACAGAGCAGTTGTGTTTGAGGAAGTATGTTCAGCCTGTTTCTGAAGGTAATATCACATGTTATCTGCAGTAGTGATTGATTTATTCTAGTATCAGCCTTCCACTCTTTGGAATAACCCTTTAGCCAGAAATTCCATAATCAAAAAAGAAAATTAAAAACCCACAAAAATTTTGTTATTGATTTTGGGTAGGATTTATTTTCTTCTTATGTGTGTGATACATTTTTATGTTCAAGCCCTTTTAATGATTATTTTTGTTAAGAAAATTTGCCTCTAGTTCTACTTTATAAACACTATGGTCATGGTTTTACAAATCACTTAAACCTCTATTTGGCTGTACAAGCCTTGGGGATGTGCTTAAATTCAAAGATTAATAATATATTGTTACCACTCTGCACTCATTATTAAAAATTCCCATTACTGAAGTTAGCTGGAAGCTAAGACAGGAACACAACAGAAGAGTGCACTGCTGGGTAACAAATGCTTAATTAATATAGTGTAGCCACTAGAGATTGCAGGACTTGCTTTAAAAACAAAACAAAAACCAAACCAAAACAAAGCAAAACAAAACAAAAAACCCAAACCAAAAAAACAACAGTAATTTATAATTTACAGCATAATAATGATGTTTTACTTCCTTAAAAAATCAGAATTTCTCTCTAAATAATCTGATGGTCCTTATACACAAAAGCCTTTGTTTTTAGGCTGACAAAAACCTGAAAACATACAGCTTAGTCCTAACAATTTTCTGCAGCAGTCAAATGCTTTAGTGATTGTAAACTTCAATTTTATCAACTTGTATGTTCAGTCGTTCATTACCAGGGTCAGGCCTAATCGATCTTCTTTCACACGTTTGGTTCTCCTCAAAGCTGCCTGCACGCTGCTGATCCCATTTCAGACTGAACAGCTCAAAACATGTCAGATTCTGAGGGAACAATAACTCCATCCTTCTTTTACTGATGATTTAGACAGAAACTCCTCCTTATGGCTGAAATTATTGGGGGTTAGATTCATCAAAACTATCTAAGCAGCTGAGGTAGAAATTAAAAAGCAAATAAAAGCCACCTTTTTAATATTCATTTTAATTTTATGATTCTTTTTGATTTTTTTTCCGAGAACCTTAAGCAGTTTACATACTTCCTTCCAGTAGTCATCATAATCATTATTTACTTTTCAGTATTAGGAGTGAACTGCCAGTGGCATAAAAAAAACATAACTTTGTTTCTTGAACCATGTTTGTTTTCAGTTAACCTTGCGTTAGTCCTGAATAATTCCACCAAATTAAGCATTAAACTAAAGCAAGTCCAGTAATGCAAATATTTTTTTTATCTGAATGAGATTTTCTGAGATCCTTGGGTGCTGGGGAATCATAAAGTCATATTGACTGTATTTCTAGGGTAATTAAAACTACTATCTGTATAGTTCAGACAGGTTTCTTGTCCCATGTGGTGAATGAATTGCATAAAAAATTGTAAAGTGCCATGGTCATGGACATGACATACTTAATCCTACAATACAAATGACAATGTATATTCAATCCAGTTAGATTTGACTTAATGTGCTTCCAAACAGAAAGCACTACCTGATTTTTAGCAATCTCCAATTGCACAGTTTGTAAATATTTTGAAGTAGTAGTAGATTATTTAGGCACACTGTTACGCCATATGCTGAAAGCCAAGTAGCACGACATCAGAAGTCCATGAATCCAATGTGCACTCACAGTTCTGTGGACTGGAAACACATATTCACAACCCTACTATGTTCAGCATACATCATACATTTCATGATTTTCATACATCAATCCCTTTTCTGGATTTTTAGGAAGCAGATAATAAATTGATCTGACAAGGCTTCATTGTTTTTTTCCCATGAGCAATCCAGCCATAAGTGTGCACTATGGTGTCAGTGTCTGCTTTGAGGCATCCTGGTTTTGGTCAAGTTGTAGAGAGACTATATTCACTCTCCACAATAATTATATATATATATAAAAAAAACCCCAAAAAACAAAAAACAAAAACAAAACCCTCCTATAGAAATGCCCACGCAAAGCTTAAATCCACGCTATTATTTTAATGAGTATTTTTTCATTGCTGAAAGAGTCATTATAGACAGATGGCCAACAGTATCACTACCATAAACCACTACAGTAGTTAAGTAGGTATGCATGATGTTGATGCATGTTGGAATACACCTTAAGATTAAAAAGGCCTACACATTTCCATCAAGTTTTTGCTTACTCATTCATTTTCGAGGATCAAACACATTCAAGTTTTGTGTTATTTTGTTTTGTTTTTTCCAGTTTATCATGAATAACATAATTTGGGAGGGGGAAGCTTGTTTCTGCTTTTGCTTAACAGATTCTTCATAAATTTTGTGTCACATGTTGAAACCTCAATGAAAAGAAAATAAACCCCACATATACCTAGCTAATTCAGGTCTATGTCATTCCTCCAATCAGCATCTTGCTGGAAAGAAAGGAGAAACATGGCATATATCATAGGTAGGTATGATTTTACATCTGGTGCAACCTAGAGGGTTAGGGTAGGAGAAGCAATGTTGTAACACAAATGTTTTGGTAAACAACACTCCTCTACAGTTCACCTACAAAGTCTCTGGACACGCAATGATTCATTCTGCTACCGCTTTGTCTTGCTGCAAGTGCTCAGACTGCCAGCATTAATAATTATTGACAGGGTCTTCATGCCAAAAGTCTAATTTTTGACAAGAAAATGGCAGATGTTTGATAAACGTTATATTCTTTAGCATGGCACTGTAATTTCTTCACCCCAGGTACTATCAGTTGAGTTCTGGAGAACCCACTAACCCAGCAATGAAAGGAACTTATGACCCTGGGTTAATCCTTTTCTATCACAAGGAAATACAATGGAAAACATAAACTATAATGATTTGGTGTCAGTGCATGATCAGCAAGGACCTAGTTCTCATTTCTAAGAAATGCTAGGAGAGTAGATATTTACTACTTTGATTGACACTAATTCTTGATGGATTTATTTAATGCTCTAGAGAAAATGTTCTCATTCACAGCTATTATACTTTTCATTTACATTTCCCAAGACAAATTATTAATTTGGGTGTTGATTTTAGGGTTTTTTGATTTCCATTTTGGTTTATTTTGGCTTGTTTTTTTGAAGGAGGTGTTAATTTGTGCCAAAAATTTTCAGATAGGGATTGAAAAAAAAATTGAGTGTATTCTTTAGGAATGTAAATTCCTGTAGGTTATGCATCATAATTAGAAAGAGTATAATTACACTGGGATTTATTTATTTTCAGATAAAGTAATTGAGAACCCTTTTTTGCTTTGATTGTCTATCTATAGATTTGATGTGGTCTCAACTACTGTAAAATCAAACAGCACAGAATATTTAGTGTGTTTATAACATTCCTGAGAGCTGTTATTCCCGTTGAACAGCTGACGGTACCATGCACAAAGGGACTACTCAAAATCCCTCCCAGTGTATATGACAGGTAGAGGAACATGAACATCCATCTTTGGTTGTCAAATCTAGCTTCCTTTTACATTCTTACAGTGATGATGGGATCAGACCTTAAACTATGCCCACTTTGAAAGTGGTTTTGTTATTTCGTGGGTATCTTGCCACAGGGATATTTAGAAGAGCATTTCAATATTTTTAAAGGAAATTCTATCAATTTCCAATGATATACAAGTGTTTTACTGGAGCTTTGAGAGGCTCTGATTTGGAAATCTTTGATCATAAACTTGTTTCTTGTGGTTACAAGATCAGCTGTGATTAATGCAATGTTAAAAAGTGTTCTGCTTCTGTTATTTAGAAATCCTTAGAAGGTATTTCGAGTGCAGATACATTGTGCCTTGGCCTCCACAAGTGATGTCTGTATGATGGAGGCTGACACATGTTATTTTCTATTTTTCAGTAGGAATTAAAAATGGAATGACTTTATCTTTAAACACTATTTGTGCACTTTGATGTAAGGTATTTTTGTGGGCAATTTTGTGGTTTCAAAGGACATACGGATAGAGGAAAGGATACCACACTGATTTATGTGGCTGATGAACTAGCTGTTTTTTTTGAAATCTTCCTAAGTTTTATGCTTAACAATTCTCTAATGGTGACTTAAAATTTCTACTTGACTCCATGCTCTGTGGCAGACTTAAAGAAGGAGTTTGTGTCCTAAATGAGCAAAGCCACAGACCTTTTTCCCTATCTGTGATAAGAACAAGACACAAACTGGAAAAGAGAGTGTTTGCATTAAAAGAAAAGCCCCTAATAGATGGTCTTTCTCTAGAATGATCAAGGATATGTGCAGGGAGAAAGCAATGCCATGTTATACTCAACAGTTGTTCTCTTTATAGAAATATGCCATTGATTTTTTTTT